AGAGAGAGAGAGAGAGAGAGAGAGAGAGAGAGAGAGAGAGAGAGAGAGAGAGAGAGAGAGAGAGAGGGAGAGAGAGAGAGGCTGACTGACTGACAGGATGGAAGACAAACAGGTGCGCGCAGAGGCAGAGATAGCTTGACTGTGATCCAAACAGACCCATGGGGAGAGACAGTGTAAATGCTGATCCAATTATCTGTTCCTGGTATTGTTTTGGTGCACAGCTATCAACATTAAGCCAAGAGGTGTTCCTTCCACTTCTTTGCAGTTCGAAGAACCAGGTTGGTTGGCCAGAGGTTATCGTGAAAGATGTCATGGACACGATGCATAAGTTCATTGCCAGTGTGTATGTTACAATTGGCCAAATTAAAGGGAAGACACTGCTGCCACTCCCACCCAGTGAGGTAAGATGACTGTACCGTAATTGATCTACAATGCATCAGAGTTACTACCCCTGCCAATGCGGACTTGGGCGATTCTGCATGTTGTATGCATCTCAGATTCTTAGTCCTTGAATTATTTTTCTTGTTGCAGTGCCTTATGTTCTGATGGTCCCGAGAGGTGCCTTCCTTGAATACATAAAATTTCTGGTGGGTTTCTACCAAACCATTCTGTTGTGGCTGTAAAACTGTTCCATTTATCTGATGAGGCTACACTGCAGGCCAACCCGTGTACATTCCATGCTTTAGTGTCCAATTCCCCTTATATCCCGATTCTCGACCCCTTTTTCAAAGTCTTTCTCCTTGTTCCTCTGTCGTGCTCAGAGTTTTGTCATTTATGGGAATTAATTGGGATTGCAGCGATTGCTTTTTTTTTTTTTTTCCTTTCCCCAAAGCAGTTTCTTTTTTTATTAATAAAAACTGAAAACGGGGCCGAGTGTCCCTTACATCAGAAAACACAGTCAATGCTTCCCTTTGTTATGGTCAAGGGATCCTGTGACAGCAGAATTGATTACTTCCAGATCAGGAAGGATGTACTACCGCTCCACCTGCTTCCCGAACACAGATCAAGCCCAAACTCTGGGTTCAGAAATATACTTCTGTAAAGCAACCGTGCTACCCCTTGATCCGCATCTAAAACAAAAGACCATTGGAATTCTACCTCTCCGTTCCTTCCACAAACTCTGAAAATGGCCTGTAGTAGCTAGGATATCCCAGTTTCTTCCTTTGGTTCTTATTCTGGCTGAGTCATTAGTCCTGTTGTTTCTAGGTCCGAGTGTGTTTCTCTGTTTACTTCTTCTGTCTTTATGTGAGTTTCTTTTTCCCTTCCCCTGAACAACATTGATTGTTCTGAATAAGATGATTAAACCGCCAGCACTTCAGGCATATATCGGCCGCAGGAAAAATTCGAGTGGAAGCGTTTCTTGTCGGATGAATTTGGGCGCTCTCTGTGTGGCCCGTTTGTTCAGCCCGTGGCCGGCGCGTTAACGGCCATGACTTTAGGAAGTACTGGTGGTTTAACTGTCAGCTTGCTATCTTCCAGAGGGTTCTCAAGCTTGGCTGATACCAAGGCTACCTAAATCTGTCCTTTTTGTGAGCTTCTTGTGATGGCTGCAGGTTAATCCTCACATTGGGTCCCATTTTTTCCACCTCCCGTCCAAGAGCCAGTCTCTGATGAAACTTCATGAAAGTCGTTTTCCTCAAGGCCGGCTTGACAGAACCAGGATGCCCTGCACTCGTTGTTGTTTGCCATGTGCTCCTGATCTCTGTCTCGACCAATAGGATGTGGAAATCCCAGGTGTTCTCCTTTTCTGTTTCATTGCTGCCAATATTCAACAAACACCTTCGTTCCCAGATAGCCCAGAGAGTGTACTTCCTAAGCATCAGGTACCAGGTCCTCAAGGGGTCTTTCAGGGCCAGGGGGATTTGGATGGCCAGGAGAGTGGGAAGTAGGGATGTCGGGGGGGCGGGGTGATGAACAGAGAGAACTACAGTTTGGTCACTCTTTACCAGACCCAGATGGCAGCTTGACATTTTATCAAGCAGTGGATAATGTCCGCTTCTATGTGAGTTTGGGCGTAGAGGTGAGCTATTGGGGTCTGCTTTTTTCCTGTGTTCATGGAGCCATTGGTTGACTGTAGGTTCTTGTAGTACCTTGTTTGTATGAGTTGGGCGAAACGATAAGACGACGTAATCTGTGATGATGGATTCTCCGACCCTTGTGACGTCTTTACTTGCAAGAACTGCACTCTCCTTTTCTTGTTTGTCACAAGTTCTATGAAATGATGAGGTGAGCGGCCTTACCCTTTTTTATTTTCTTTGGGAGAGATCTCAATCTTGTCCCTGATAGATAACTATACTTTTCCGTTTCGTTGCCTTGAAGTTCCAGCATCTGGTTGCATTCTCGTTGCTGCCTATCCCCTGGTCTACTACCTTGCCTCCACTGTTGCAGGTAGATTTCTCTCCCTTCCCCTCGCTTGCCCTGGGTGGGGCTTCCCCTCTTCTCCTTCCCCCTTGTTTCGGGATTCTTGCCCCTCGCTCCTTTCCGCTGCACTCTTCATCGCGATGAATCCCTTCTTTCCTTCACGACACTTGTCCCCACTTGATCATCCTAGGCAGGC